AGACGATCATTGAATAATCGAAAAGAAACTCAGAAGAAAAACAAGAATGGAATAAACGGTGCTAATAAACAAAGCAATAAATACATTCACATACATACATATATACATATGCACATACATACATACATGCATGTACTCATGCACGCTACTAATTCTTAAAAATAAACTAAAACGAAAATTTTGTTAAGTTAGAAGTGGTCCGTGGTTGCCAATTTTGTGTTGTATTTGGCACAATTGTATGTGTGTTGTGTAGAGCAGCAACCATTTTTTTCCCTTAATATTGTTTTATATTTATTTTAATTTTTTTTTTGCATTACACTTTCAGTTTTCATTGTTTGTCGCTATTTTTATGGCACTTTCTTTTTGTTTACTAGTTGATTATGGGCGTGTTTCGCTTGCCAAATTTTCTGATGAGCAATTGATTTTTGGTCAACATTTGTACGTTTTAACTCAATGAAGAGAATTTTTATGGTAAATTTCCACTAGGTATTAAATGGCGAAAATTGTAATGACAAAGTTTGGCATTAAAAAATATTCGAGTCTTTACGTTAAAAAAAAAATAGTCATTAAGTTCATTTCGCCATGGAAATTTTAAAATGGCCCCAGTTTTTTGTAATTTCAAAGCCAAGTGGAAATTCGGCATTAATCATAAAAGAAAATTGTCTCTAAATATTCTACAATTAGATATATTTACGTAACTAAGATTTTGAAATAAGCCATGTTTTAACATTGATATTATACTGCCTTAGACATTCCTTTCATGAATATATTTTTTTAACGATTTAATAAATTTATTATTATTATTATTCTTTGGTTTATCTGGCTTAAAAGTCATTCTTAATAAATAAATTTTAGAGTCACTTTCATTAAACTCTCATCCATGTACAAACCTGCATATACGTATACTATATATACATTCATACATATGAATCCCTCGTTTCATTTTCCTCAAACGCATTAAATGGTAATGCATATTTCACACAATTTTTTTCTCGCGACTAATTATGTTTATAAATTCCCGCGGATCATATTTTGCCATCATTGCCATATGGCAATATTTACCTTTATTTATACAGATGGCAGTCGTTTCGTAATGAAATACGATTTTATTAATTATTGTTAAGATAAATATACTTGGCTATATGTTTAAGTATATAAATATACTTGGATATGTTTGTTATCAGTGCATTCGAGTTGTGAATATAATTAGTTTTTTGTTGTAAAAAGATAATTTTTGCAACACATAGTAAGCAACCCAGATGAATGCATCAACGCCAGACGCAATTATTAATATTTTTGCAAGCTTTTAATTCAACCTTATCTAAATGGATTTTCGATAACATAATTCACTCGCTATCAAAGGGGGAGGCCTAAAAATATATTTTGAGGACTCAATATAAATATGTTCCATAAGAAAAGTCAAAGGCGATAAGCATAGATTTAGATTTGAGTATTTTTTTTGTTTCGAAATTTTCTACAATATTATTTCATTAGAAACGGCCTCAAGCTAAATGAAAGGGTTGAATATGATTTATTAGGCCTAAAAATAGAAACACAAAATTATTTTTTTGTAGCACCAAAAATAGTTATTTAGCAGAAAAAAAGCATACTTATAATTAATTATTATCATTATTTTTTGGTTAAAAAAAATTGGTTGAAAAATAAGAAAACCGAAACTTTTTGTTTAAATTTAATCAAGAAAAACTTTTTTTCAATAAAAAAAAATTGTTATATTTTTAGTTTAAAAACAAAAATAAAAATTTTTTCATAATTTTTATTCTTTCATTATTTAAAAATATTCCCGACCTCTGAAAAATCTTAAATAATATTATTATTTATTTTAAACGCACTTCGCTAGCTTAGAGCAAAAAGTTGCTAAGTCCACTCATATTTTGATAAAGGAAGCGAGAGAAATTAAAAATAAATCGTTTCGAAAAGGAGGGCACTGTTTTATTTTTTCTCGTTTATATATTTAATGAAGGGCAAATTTTATTAGTCCAAAAGAGGCACCAAAAATCTATGTACTTGAAGATAATGGCTATAAGATGTTTTATTAAATGAACTTGGCAACCTTTCACTTTAAGCTAACGATTTGTAATTTAAGAGCCGCGAATGCGATTTGAATTCGAGTTTTTTATCTTTATTTTCATGTTGCACCAAAATTCGTTATTAAAAGGAAAGATTTTAATAACTATTTATGATTCACGGCTTATTTTTTCATTTTACATAAAATAAACAAGAAAACAAAAAATTTGTTTCAAAGAAATGGAAAACGTGCTTCGCAAAAATATTTTTCTTTTCACTTAAAACGAAACAAGCACTTTTTTAAATAAACGATCAACGTTTATGAAATTTAAGCAAAAAAATACAACAAAAAGTTTTTGGCAATTTTTTAAATGTATAACAATATTCGTGTTCTCTGAAAAATTTGAAACAGCAGTATTACTTAATTTAAACATGTAAGTTAAAATTCGTGAAATTGATTTAGATTTGAATTTTTTCTTTTTCTTTTCTTATTTCACTAAAATTCGTTATTAAAGGGAAATATTTTAATCAACACCTACTGTATGCGGTTTGTTTTCTCTTTTAACACCATTTTGTTAAATTTTGAATAAAAAACGTAAAAAATTTTATTAAAATAAAAAACGGAAAAAATCAAATTTGAAACAAAAGCTTTTTTTAATAAATATTTGGACATATGGAAAAAATTCACCATTTTTGAATAATTTTTTTTAACAAAAGCATGATTACTTTGCTGAAAGACTTTAAAGACTACCTATGCTCTGGAGGTTAGTATTTAATTTTACCAAAAATTATCACCATTAAACAACGAAACTCTTTTTTAAACCATTGTTAGATGCATTCGTGAAAAAGGAAAATTCTATTTTCATTGAGTTTGAAATTTTAAAAAATATTTTTTTTGGTATTTTTTTTTGTTTAAATTCGCGTATGATTTAGCGTAAAAAGCTTTTATATTCGATAAAAAAAATATTGTCAATAGTAAATACAGTACACTTGCGAAAACTCGAACGTTCGGAAACTTGAACATTTTTTCTACTCCATTGACTACTTTAAATCGAACAAAATGTTTCTTTTAATTCCTATTCCACATCAATATTAGAGTCATACTCCAGCTAGTGGCTGTACAACTGCTGATGCTTACACTGTTTTTGCTGCTAGATGCGTAAAGAGCGAAATACACCACACAAGCGGTTTGACAAACCAAGCGAAATTTCCCTTTGCTTCAAGCCATTTGTGCTGTGTATGGGGGTGTTTGAAGGTTTGACAGCGGTTTGTCAAACCTTCAAACACCCCCATACACAGCACAAATGGCTTGAAGCAAAGGGAAATTTCGCTTGGTTTGTCAAACCGCTTGTGTGGTGTATTTCGCTCTTAAATTTTTATTTAAAGGCGCCTTACTATGGACTGACAGACAGACAGACAGTAACGGCCTAATCGATTTCTCTTGTCATTCTTGTACACATTTGTCTACATAGATATATCTATTTTGATTTTACAAAAACCCGTTATGCGAATAAAGTTACAGTGCACTCGGTATAAAAATAAAAAAAATTCGAAAACTCGAACAATTCGTTAACCCGAAAAAGTCTGATTTTCATTAGTTCGAGCTATCGCGAGTAAACTGTATAGAATATTCCCTTCTGCAATATGTAGTATGATATCAACAATGTAATAATGACACCACTTAGTATTTTGAAAACCTACAATACTAGTACAATAATATTGAGTCAAAGGCGACCTTTGATTCTTGCAACGCTGTAAAAGGAGCGCACACTTGCGATATTTATTTGCAATTTAAGTAGTCAAATTGACGCCCAAGTATGCTTTTTTTTCCGCAGTATTGCAAGCATACGTTTACAGTTAATTAACACCACCAGACAATGGCCCTTTCAAATATTTTTAAGAACCATAATTATGTAAGGGAAACGAAACGAATGCAAAAATTTTCAATTTCACACTCCATTAAGAAGTAAAATTTTCAATTTCGCAAATATCATTCCAGGAAGCTAAATGTAATAATTTTACACCTTTGAAAATTTGCACTATTCATGGATTTAGTAAGTTAGTGTGCACCGTAAAGTAAGTAGCTGTTGACATGTATACGGCATCGTTAAGCAAGGAATTTTTTTTTTTTTTTTTTTTTTTGTTAAACATCTCGTAGGTACTTTTGGTCGTTTCTCTCATTTTTGCACATTAAATTTTGCAAATTTACAACTTGACTAGAAGAATTTTCTTCGCGGGCAAATTAGCTGCCAAAAACATGTTGCAATGCAATGTCAGGGACAACAATTTCAGTAGTAAATACTCGTATGTGTGTTTGTGTGTATTAGAACTGCTGCAACTGCATTTTTAGTTATAAATATGTTTGTCTGCGCCGCCAATTCGTTACAGTTTTTGCAGATGCAGCAGAATTTCTGAGTTTATTGCCACGTGAGTGTGGATGATTTCAAATGAAAGAGTATAAAATTTTGTCGTAAAAGTTCATAAAAAAAGTGCAACTGCAATCGTACTGAAAAAAATTTATAGTATTGTGGGTTAGAACTAATAAATTTGATTTACACTTACAGATATTAAAAAATTACAAAAAATTTTGTCTAAGAAATGAAATTTTCTATGGAAAATTATAAAAAAGGATTCCGTCATATAAAATCTGCCTAAAGTTATTATATTTGTATGTACTAGGTACACTCTGGAATCATAAAAATTGTTTGTCTAAAAACACCAACAAAAATTTTATAAAAGTTTACTTAGAACGTTTTTTTATCTTCCTAATCTAGTAAAATGTGTTATTAACAATTAAAACTGTCTCAAATCAATGAATTTGTACTCAAATAAAAAATTGAGAAATTGGGATTATAAAATACATATAAACATTAAAAATAATTTAAAGGACCGTTATTCCAAGGTCTTCCAGAACATTTTAAAACATTATATGTTTATCAAATAAGCATTCAAAATTTTGCACTTTAGATACTAACTTTTTTCGAAACAACTAATTTGTTTTCAGTATTTTAATAATTCTTCAGCGATATCACACACTTTTTTAATTTCGAAAAATTCAAATTTCTACACTTTTATTAAAGTTCACTTATGTACTCGTATTCTCTTCCTTGTTAACTTTTTCTCATGCGCGCCAATAGTCTTTTAAATTCAAATATAAAATAATAAAAATTCCGTTCGCAATTCTTTCAACTTTTTCGCGTACCATCTGCGATCGCGGCTCGATATCAACTGAATTCAGTAGCAAATTTGCAACGCAAGAAAAGTTAAGGCAAAGTAAGGTATCGCACACATACATACATGTATTTAACAAAAAAACGCAAATTATCAAAACACAAACTCACACAACAAATGTGCCCCACTCAACAAATTATGAGTAACAGTAGAAATGTTTGGCCAAAAAGCAAATAAAATAAAAAACATAAAAACGAAATGTAACAAAAAATAAAAGTAACGATTGTGAGCTTTTGCGCGCGTCCATTTAGCGATCGGAAGTGGGCAAAGTATTGCACGATTTTTAAATTTACTATGGAGACAAAGTTAACAGTGAATGTGTGCCAAAGCAGAGAATAATCTCTGGCCGCGGAGCAGGCATGTATATTTAACAGAGCACAAAGTAAACAGCACTGTTACGAACAGTTTGGAGTACGGTATGTACACATATTTTTGTATTTGATTGACTCGATGTACACACACACACGCACAAAGGTATCTGCATGGCCGCTAAGGTGCAGGTTCGCTCCCTGGTACCGGCACTCGGGATATATTTTTTCATTTTTTTATTTTTATTTTATTGTTTTTTTATTTATTCTATTTTTCTTAAATTTTTATCTATTTTTTATATTTCAATCTTACTATTTGTCTTGAATAAATTTTATTTTGTTATTTGATTACCTATGTATGTACATATATATCCACTTGACCTAATATTTTATTTCATATCACTTGGTTTGATTTAATTATTTTATTTTCCATTAGTTTTTATTTTGTTTTAATTTTTCTTAGTTTTATATTTAAGTTATTTTTGTTAAATTATTTTATATAAATTTTTTTCTTAAGTTTTCGTTTTATTTTATTCCGCTTTATTTTATTTTATTTTATTTTATTTTATTTTATTTTATTTTATTTTATTTTATTTTATTTTATTTTATTTTATTTTATTTTATTTTATTTTATTTTATTTAATTTAATTTAATTTAATTTTATTTAATTTAATTTTATCTTGCTTTATTTTATTTTATTTTATTTAATTTTGATTGAAATCCGTCCTTTTTTTCGAAATATGTTTCTGCATATGTTTGCCCATTGGTTCCGGGTAACTCAAACTCCTTCTATTCCACAACTTGCTTTAGTCAATGAACGATGTTATCATAACTTTGTTTATAATTTTCGGATATAGCACTGTGGAACAAAAATGAAATTTAGAAAAAAAAACTAGAGTCCGTATATATCAGGTTTGATAGCTATTGGCCATACGAAGAATGTCTCATACTCAGTTTTACAAGATCAATTCGTGTTCTTGCGAGAAAAATTCCATGATCCAAAAATCTGAGTACAGCGGCCACATTTTTTTCTCCAAATTTTGAAAATTTATCGTTTTTAGGCCTATATTTGCTTTGTATGCTATTCTCGAGCAAATATGCTAACCGCTACCAAAATGTGTCTTTAAAATTCTGCATATGCTCCATGAAAGTAATAAATTCATATCAATAGTAGGTGGGATCTTAAAAACTAAACAGTTATTGCAACAAACAAAGACGAATTTCGATTTTTTTTCTTAATTTCATACTCCATCTATGTCTTTTATTGTGTTTCGCAAATGCTAATTAAGCAGCGCTAATAAGGTTCGCCCCGCTAAGTACAAGTACACATTGCCATGCTATGCCGCCACACCTGTATCTATGCGCCAATAGACTGCTAAGAGCCATGTCAGCGTAGGTAAACAAATCTATGCACTAGCCTCACTTGGTGATTACACATTCATTGTTGTGCGTAAAGCGAATTAATTGCTTGAATGGCATACTTTTGTTGTTGTCTTATGTTTTTGTATTTTAATAGAGCTATTCGCGAATTACGATTTGAAGTACCTGCTAATTTTGAGATATTTTATGAATGACATAATCTGTAAAAATATAAAATTCTTGCATACAAATAAGCAACGGATAATCCTAAGAGCTGCAAGCACCAAGCAGCTATGAGTGTTGGGGGGTGATTCATAAAAAGGTAATTTTCAATAATTCATCACATATGGCACTTTTATTTAAAAATATATGTGATATGGATATGTTTTTAGTGATCGATGTGTTTGACGTTATCATTATGGTAGATCTTATATTTATCGTAATCGATATCATTTTTCTTAATGATGATTTTAACATTTTCGATAACATTCTCGATATTTTCATAACTATCGTTATCGGTTCGGCCTTTTTTTTGTACGCGTAATAGCATTCCTAAACTTATGCTTATCGAGTAGTGCGTTAATCTCATCGTTACAAAGGATTACAAAACTTTTCAGTGTCATCTTATAACTAAATATTTATGTTGCCCTGAGAGAAGTTTTTGGAGCTAAATATTTCCTTGGATTTAGATAAAAATGTAGGCAAACAAGGTTGTAAATAATTTTATCAAAATAAGTATATATTTTGTTTACAAAAACTTTTAAAATATTTTTACTTATTTTGATATCAACAAATATTATACTAGCATAACAAATTGTTTATGTTTTGGCTGCTCTACATTTTTCACAAACTATTCAGCTTATCTAATTGAGAGCAATGATCATTATAAAAAACACTTCTGCTTTCTTGAAGATAAGATAAGCTAAGGTACTCCACTGAGCAGCGTAGCTTCCTTAAAAAAATTCTTCGTATTTATACATATGTAGTACATAGTACCCATCATTTGCTAGTGTAACTATGAATCACTCCGTTTGGAAATTACCCATCGCCCACCTTGAAAAGAATACATCTTAAAGCCTGATTATGGCAACATAACTTAACTTAACGGAACGTAGAACTTAGAGAATCAAAATGAACCAGATTTCGACGTGGCATTATAAGCAGCACCCATTTAATAGAATTTTTAAGGGAGCCGTAAGTTACGTTAAGTTGCCATAATCAGACCATTAGTTATCTAAATAGATGCGTAATTTTCGCAATACTTTGAATATTTTTGCACTTCAAAGACTTATCAGACTATTGATGATGTTTTAGCCTGAACGATTGAGTGACTAACCCCATTGCAGTGTATTTACATATGTATGTACGTACATACATACATACATGTAAATAGAGGGTAAGGCGAGTATTTCAAATGTAAATTTCTTTGCTTAGAAACTAGTATTATACGACGTCATCGGCATCACCGTGGTCGACAATGCCAATGCCGATTACCAATGCGAAACGATACGTACAATTTTTGTTTTGATTAAAAATCGACGCATTCGTACCAGTGAATCATAGGATTTTCAACAGAAATTATAATATTTTTCTAAAGAAATAACCAAAATTTATGTACATTTAATATTTTACATTCATGCATTCATATGTGCATACAAACATACATAGGTACACACATTTGTACATAAATAGTACTGGTATGATAAGTAGGCGTGAATGGGTTATTATTTTCAGTGCATTCACAGACTTGTTTGTAAATATGTTTTTACGAAATTGCTTTATTTACACACTATTTGTGGGAAAACTACCTACTGACAGAGTTATGTACGTTTATGTATGTAAACAATTGGTTGTTGCTAGGAAGTGTTAGAGGTCGGTCAATATGCTCTTGACGTCATTAAATAAAAAAGCTGTTTAAAAAATTATTTAGTTAGTTCATGAAAATTTTCAAACTGAGCTAATTAACTGATGTAAAAATAAATTTTGTTCATGCCTTATATGGAAACAAATGCGCAACACCCCCGACTAAAAAAATTCTAAAAAATCAGCGGTAGTTTTTAGCTACTAGAAACTTGTTCTTTATTATACTAAAATTCTGAATAAAAAGTTTGAAATTTTGGTGAAATTTTTTTTAGGTTTGTTTCAATTTTTTGAAATTTGTACAAAGTTTGCGAGAATCATATGGTTTTTTTCATAGAATGAGCTATATTTTAAATTGAAATTAATGAAAAAGATTTATAATGGAAAACATTTTGAATATTGTGAAGAAACTAAATTACGAATACTTCTGTGAGTGACTGTATATCTTTACGATTGGACGAAAAAATTTTGAAAACGGACTAAACGGCAATCTTTATTTTTTATTTACAAAACTGCAACGTTTAGACTAGAAAAAAAGTTAAAAGAACCAGAAACTTTAGTTTGAGTAGTATGAAAATTTGTCTTAACCACAGTCTACGAAGAATCATTTAATTCATATTTTTATTCTTCATATTTTATGTACGCTCATATTCTTAGAGAATCATTTAATTCGTTCCCACGACAGTCGGGTCTACGTAACCGGAACGACCCAGATTTATATCTGGCCAAGGACTGTCACTCCAGCAACACTCCCCAAAAACTCTGGGGGATCTGTATGCTGTTACAACTACTACTAAGAATCATTTAATTCTATTAACTTACACAAGTGCTTAACCAGTCCCGCTTAGAAAAATCATCCACCTAAAAAATTTTTTAGAATTATCTCACTATTGTTTTAAAGCGCTTATTCCTTGGGCTGTATTTTACTTAGTGTAGCCGGCACTCAGTAGCATTTTCGGTGTTGACCTTCGTCACTTCTCATTTATTTGGCAAAATTCCATTTGAATGAAGTGGCACGTTTTTGTCCTGTAGCAATTATAGGTTGACACTCAAATTATTTTGCTCAGCAATCTTGTCGTACTTAACCTTATTTGTGTGAGCAGTCAAATTCCTGTTCCCCGATTCTGAAGAAAAAAAACCAATACTCCTTAAAAGCTGTTATACATGTAATTAAATCATTGACTTGACTACCCACTGCACCACCCACTGAATGAGAGTGATTTGCTGATTGCTTCAAGTACCTGTTTGATTGCTACTGCAATGTATGTAGTTACTTTTTCAAGTATCTCACGCTTGATGGATTGAGTATTTGCATCAAATATTAGCCAATGATCGATGATTGCCAAATATAATTATTCATATTTTTGCGTTTAAAAAGTTTTTATTTTTTTTTTTTATTAAAAACTCTTTTTTATTCAAAATTAAATAAAATGAAAAATTAAATTTACGCTTCTAGTTGTTTGTCT